GCATTCCTCTATCCTTGTGCTTCTTGACCTCTCAGCGACCTTCGATACCATCAACCATGGTATCCTTCTGCAACTGCTGGAAGAGGTGGGAGTGGGAGGCACTGTTTTACAGTGGTTTTCCTCTTACCTCTCCGACAGTCGGTGTTGATTGGAGGACAGAGGTCGACTCCTAGGCCCCTCAATTATGGGGTGCTGCAGGGGTCATTCCTATCCCCCCCTCCTATTTAATATCTACATGAAGCCACTGGGTGAGATCATTCGCTGGCACAGGATTAAATACCACCAGTACGCGGAAGACACTCAGTTGTATCTGTCCGCCCCGTGCCAACTCAGTGAAGCAGTGGAATTGATGTGCCAGTGCCTGGAAGCTGTTAGGGTCTGGATGGGAGTGAACAAACTCGCACTCAATCCTGACAAGACCGAATGGCTGTGGATGTTGCCCCCTAAGGATAGTCCAGATATGGATAGTCCAGACGATGCGTGTGCCAGCAGAGGGAGCTCTGTATGCCACCACAAAAAGCCACATAACTAACTCTCTTTCCCCACTCTGGGCCACCCACAATTCATAGTTTACCAACTGAATTCAATTTTGTTACTTTGGGAAAAACTGTCTGCTTTGGTCAAAACATTCTTCATCACTTGGCCTTGTGGATAACATCTCCCTGGCAACAGATGGTTCACTTGCATTCCACAGTCTCCCTCCACCCTTAGGAATTCACCGCCTCCTTCCCAACACTGGCAAAACTGCGAAAGAAAGTAGGCACAGGCAACTATGAAGTGAAGTCAGGTTTGATAGTCCCCTGATTTTTAGTTCAGTGCTTTAACTAGTATAGCAGCCTAACTTTCTCTTTAAACAAGGTGAAAATACTGTTTTGAGCTGGTTTTTGTTATAAAATAATAATTTAATTAAATGTTAATATTATATAAAATTATTCATTTATATATATATTTGTTCCTCTAGATTATAGACAAGAGTAAGAGAGATCCTTCAGAGGAAATAGAAATATTGCTACGATATGGACAGCACCCAAATATTATTACTCTGAAAGATGTAAGTAGATAATATAAGCATCTTCATGGTAATTAAGTCATTAATATCAGTGTGTTATTTGCCTTCTATTAGCTATTAGGTTAGAAAACTTATTTAATTTTGTCCAGTATTTGTAATGCATATATCCTGGGTTTTCTCTGGAGCTGTGAACTGTAAATCTTTTTTAACCCCAAATATTTGGCAGGCTGTTTATTTAGGTTGAAAGAGGCAGACTTCTTCCTTGGTTGACAGAAGCACAGATCAGAGAAATGATAGATCTTAGTAAATAGGCTCCCAGCCTTCGGTATTGAAACATGATCTTAGAATATTGATAGATTTATAATAAAATCATTGAGGATGGCTTTCTAAAGACTTGAGGTAGTGAGTAGTGGCATTGATAGACTGATAGGTTTGGCAAGCATATTCTTGCTTCTTATAAAAGTTCCCCAGGAATAGGATGTATAATCTTGTATAAGGCATAAACAAAAGTTTATGGAGCTGCAACAACAAGAAAAGAAAAACACACCTAAAAATACAGGTAGTAAAGAATAGTTACCTGTTCTTTATATTCCAACCAATTTTTCAGTACTTGCTCTCATAGGCTTTAGAAACTAAATGTTTATATTTACCTTGCTGCATTATATGTATATACAAAGAGATAGTACATTTTCGGACATGGATTGAAAACTTTCTTGGCAGAAATGATACTAAAGATACAGAATTTTAATTCCTGACAAATTAAAACAATACATGGTTTTAAAATAAATTAATGAATTAATGAACATTTATTTCAAAGCTTTTTTACTTTTCATTCATTAGATAGTGGGAGATTCTTTTTCCACTCAGCTATCATTTTGGAAGACATCAATTAAAATAACTTTTCACATTGCCAATTAAAACGTTAAACTCTGTTATTTATTTTTCTCTTCCTTTCTATGATTGTCATGCAATTTTAGGGTTTTTTAAAATCTTATTTAAGTTACAATGATTTTTTAACTGAGCTATCCTTTATCTTGTGACATTTTCTGGGTTCTTCAGATATCACACATTATTTCAGGTGATAACCAGTATTTTAAAGTAGATCTAGTAGGTCCATTTCTTTTGTGAAATCGTTTTGTATGTCACTTTTAGGTACATGATATGATTGGATATTTTATGTTATTTTCAGGTATATGATGATGGAAAATGCGTATTTCTGGTAACAGAACTCATGAAAGGAGGAGAACTGCTGGACAAAATCCTTAGGCAAAAATTTTTTTCTGAAAGAGAAGCTAGTGCTGTGTTATTCACAATTACAAAAACTGTTGAATACCTTCATGCACAAGGGGTAAGTTATCTATTTTTGAAATCATTATCAGGTTTTTCTGAAAAGAAACCTCACAATCTCTTTAACAAGTTTTATTGAGAAGAAAGAGATGGGTTTACAAGAGCTCCTGCAACTGAACTGTTTCCCATGTAAAATCAATGTGTACCAAGGAACAGCAGAGACTTCTTTATTTTTCTTGTTGCTTTTCTGCAAAGCTGCAGAAAAACTGGCGGGTCTTTTCAGAATCATGAAGGAACTTGCAGATGATTTTGCATAAAAATCCCAGTAATTTTTTCTTTTTTTTTTCTTAAGGTTGTACATAGAGATTTGAAGCCTAGTAATATCTTATATGTTGATGAATCAGGCAATCCAGAATCTATTCGAATTTGTGATTTTGGCTTTGCAAAGCAGCTGAGAGCAGAAAATGGCCTCTTAATGACACCCTGTTACACAGCAAATTTTGTTGCTCCAGAGGTAACTAACTATTGGTTATTTGTCTGCATTTCCTATGGAGGAAAAACATGTAATCTGGAAATTCCTTTTTTTTTTCTTTAAGTAAATGTATTAATTTACGGTTAGAAAATTATATGCAAATATATATTTAAAATCCTTATATTTATATAATATACAAAATCAGAAAAAGAAAAGTGGTAAAGCCAAACTAAAAACATCAAAGTTTTAAATATGACTATTTATTATATAATTGCACGGAGGGGATAAAAGAATCATACTGTGAATTTGAAAACAAAATGTTATTCAAAGTCAAGGCCCGGGGGCTAGATCCGGCCTGCGGGGTGCTTAGATTTGGCCCATGGGACCACCCTGGAAACAGTGAAGGACTGGCCTGCAGTGCCTCTACCAGTGAAAATGGAGCTCAGAAGGGCCACATGCAGCCCTTCCTAGCTCTGTTTTCCCTGGTAAAGGGTTTCAGTCGCAGCCGAAAACAGAGCTTGGGAGCCGGTTTTCTCTGGCAGAGGGCTCTGGCCACCACAGGTGTCTCGACATGAGTGACATTGAGCTGGCCATGCCCACCCTAGCTATGCTCATTCCCACCTCCCCTGTGGTCAAACACAATCCTGATGCAGCCCTCAATGAAATCAAGTGTCAGGGTTCCAAATAGCATCCAAAAATAAATCAGAGTCCAAGGCAAAGTATTGCTCAAAATTCCAATTTATTAAGAGAGCCATGTTGGCACATCTGGGAAACCTGAATCTGAAGGCTTCCTGGTTTTTCCACCAAGTTGAAAGTTCAAGATCTTGTCCCCACAACCACAAGTCCATCACATGGTCCAATCTTCCACTGCCATGCTGACAGCTCCCCCCCCCCCATCCATTTCCGGTTAGGTGGACAGACAAAGGATGACCTTGGCTTCTAGAAAGGAATTTTATTTTGGCTACATAGCATTTAACTCTGTACAATCCCCCCTCCCATTTTCCCACATTGGAAAAGGCATAGTAGAATAATAGAAAGTGTGGTAGGCCTGAGACCTACAAGAAAATATGGCTGCAGGCCTGACATCGAGTTTGACACCCCTGTTCTAGACGTTAAGGAATGGCTTTTAGAAATAGATAACTTAGCAAAGGCTTTTCCTGGGTCTAAAGATACGTAGTACTTGGCTATATCCAGTACATCAACTAATAAACATGTTGTTTGATGCCTGATGATTTTTTGTAAACCCTGATGGGGGAGTAAATTATATGTGGTAAAACATTTTGCAGCTATTGAACTTCCGCTTTCCGGCATGCCTGGTCTTACGGTTTCTGGCTGGTCTTCTTGCACGCAGGCGCACTAGAAACCAGAAGAGCAACAGGCGACGTCTGGCATTCCCAGAGAGATGGCTCTGCATGCCACTTCCTACATGCTTGCCATAGGTTCACCATCATGGGCTTAGTATAATCCTTAGTGTAAAACAATGCTGGCAGTTTAACATCCTGAAAAAGATTTATTATTTACATCCAAAAGATTTATGATGACTCAGTAAAAGCCTTGCATCAGTCCTCTTAAAAGCCATCCAGACCAGGAATATTACATTTTGCAACAGCTGTTTAGAATCCATTAGTTCCTGGAGCAATAGGATTATTATCTGATTATTAAAAACTGAATATCCACCAGACTCAAGTTGATTGCTTCATATTGATCCACCTTATTATTCAAAGTATATATTGGCTTATATAAAAAAGGGGGGAAATGATTATTAATAGCTTCAGAAGCAAAATACAATCTGACCATCCTTAGTGACAATTTCAGAATCTTACAACCTGTTTAACCAACATTTCTAACTTTGTGCAGAACATTTTTTTTCACTTCCTTATAAAAACATAAGTTGTATATTGTAGATAGTTCTCACTTAGTGATTACTTGATCAGTGACTCTTTAAAGTTGGATGGTGCTGAACAATTGATACTTATGATGAATCCTCAAAGTTCCAGCCATTACACCACCCCTGCAGTAACATGATGTCGATCTGGTAACTTGGAAACTGGCTTGTACTTATGATGGTGGCAGTGGTCCACAATCACATGATTGCAGCTTTCACTGACAGCTTCCTACAAACAAAGTCAATGGGGAAGCCAGCAGGAAAGTTGCAATTACCCTGGCAAGTCTCTCAGGAGCAGCCATCTCTGTGCCTTCAATCATTCACATGCAACTGCAGCCACCTGCACACCCTCCCACACCTGATAGCAGTCACCCCTTGTGCTTAAAATTGCTTGTGGGTTCTGTTGCAGCCATCTGTGCCCCACCTGCCATCGGCCACCACTCTACCCTGGGCTTGAAATAACTTTCATGCACCGCTGCAGCTACCTGCATATCCCCACCCACCTAGCATCAGCCACCTCTGAGCCTGAAATTGTTCACATATGCCACAACAGTCACCTTCACACTCTTCCTCACCTAACAGCAATTTAACTGACCTCCAAGCCCCTTGGTACCTCAACTTTCCTCAATGACTTTGATTGTTCTTCATCCTACATATGGGATTATATATGCATTGGCCAAGCCTCAAGATTTATGGAACATTCCTATCTTTTCCATATTTTAAAAGAATTTGAGGCTGATGATCATACATAAAGGAAACCAAGAAATTGGATATGTGGCTTTCTCTTTGAATTATATGAGATGTATTTATTTGAACTATATGCATTCCATGAGGTGGAGAAGCAACTGTGCAAATGAAATTATCTAAACTATTTATTGTTTTATTTTAATAGTGCTATATTGATTACCCATAGTTTATGTGAATGATTTGTTTCAGTTTTGGTTTTCTTTCTTTTATAGTACAGTGATTTAAACTGTCATTTTTATTGCAATGATAGAGTTTAAATTAATTTAATAATTCAAATATTGTTTATTAAATTAAATTATGCAATTTGTATTGGATAATTTATAATGGATATAGCAACTTCTTTCTCAGTGATTCTATAATAAAAGTAATATTTACAAAAGTAATTTTTACAATTAAGAATAATTGCTTTTTCTTTATGATTTAATTAATAACATGATTCCTATAGGTATTAAAAAGGCAAGGATATGATGTAGCATGCGACATATGGAGCCTTGGTGTCCTTCTATATACAATGTTGACTGGGTACGTTTGTATCAATTTACTTTGTCCTGTATCTATATAATGCTAAAACTTTCATGTCTGCAACCTTTAACTGAGCTAATCCGTGTATCACAAGGCAAAACTTTTTGAGCCCAGATACCTCAAAACAGTTAACATATAGAAGACATGGATCCAAAATCCACATTCCATAGCTTCAGTGGAATGGAAATTTGGCAAATTTCATAAAAAACATTTTATAATATAAAATTATCATAAAGAATTTTATGATATAATACAAAATATCATGAAACATTTGTTGTCATTTCCTGATGTTCAACATGGGTTACTTTCAAGGCGGATATAGCTCTGAATAACTTGGAATTCTTAAAAACTTTTCAAATTCATGAGAAACTTGGTGAAAATATATACCTATTAATCATTTTCAAATAGTTCATAGTTCAAATTGTACTATTTCTAAATCTGTTCCAGTACTGAACAATTTTAGTACTGCTATATGTAATACATTACTTTTGTTTCCTAATTCTTTTTGAAAAGCTTTTTGTTCACATTAGTAATTGGTAAGCAGTTACATAGTCTCATGAATAATTATTTTTGCAATTTATATTAATTACAGGTAGTCCTTTACTTACAACAATTCATTTAGTAACTGTTCAAAGTTACAACAGCATTGAAAAAAGTGACATGACCATTTTTCACACTTACGACTATTGCAACATAGTCACATGATCAAAATTCAGTCATTTGGCAAAAGACTCACATTTATGACAATTGCAGTGTCCCATGGTCATGTGATCACCTTCTGAGACCTTCTGACAAGCAAAATCAATGGGGAAACCAGATACACTTAATAACCGTGCTATTAACGTTAACAACGGCAGTGATTCACGTAAAAACTGTGACAAGAAAGATCATAAAATGGGGCAAAACTCACTTAACAAATATTTGAACAACAGAAATTTTGGGCTCAATTATGGTTGTAAATTGAGGATTACCTATAATAATTTAGTATGTCAATTCTCATAATGGAATTGCGCAGAGCATTTTTTTAAAAAAATGTTAAAACTATTATCTTCATTTAGTTATACTCCCTTTGCAAACGGTCCTGATGATACTCCAGAAGAAATTTTGGCACGAATAGGTAGTGGGAAGTTTTCTCTCAATGGTGGATACTGGAATTCTGTCTCAGAAACAGCAAAGGTATGTCAATCATTGTTCTTGAGAGTTCATTAGGTACGACAGAATATAAATCAGTAAGTATTAATAATAGCAACTTGCATTATGTTTGCCATTGTTTTCTTCCTAGAGCTGAGAGTCAATAACTGGCCTAAGGTCAGCTGCTGTTTTTGTGTGCAAGGCAGAACTAGAACTCATAGTCTCCTAGTTTCTATATAGAATTCTTCATTGGCCAACTGTGATTGGACACACAAGGAATTTGTCTCCAGTGCCCAAGTTCTCAGTGTAATACAATACAATAGCAGAGTTGGAAGGGACCTTGAAGGTCTTCTAGTCCAACCCCCTGCCTAGGCAACCCTATGCAAATGGATATCCAACATCTTCCAGTGTTGGTTCATTCACAACTTTTGGAGGCAAGATGTTCCACTGATTAATTGTTCTAACTGTCAGGAAATTTCTCCTCAGTTC